AAAACAACCACACTTGAGTTAAATTTTAATACTCTTTATTAGATCACAAAACAATCCCCACAGATCTTTTCATTTTTGTGCAAAAAAGCTGGTCTACTTTAGCATTACTTTATAACATTCAGAGAGTATTTACACGCAGTTATTGCACAGCTGCAAAAATTATTTTTTATATGTTCAAAGAGCAGCATGAAGTCCAAATGATATAAGCTGGCAAATATTCCACAGAAACACCAGGACATACAGGATATACAGATCTGTTCTACTGTGTAATTTACATAATCATTATTGCCAGAAGTTTCTATGTACAGCCACCAAAAATCACCTTACTCTAAATATAGTAATGCTAACACATTATTGTGAATTCGGTCATTTACACAGATATAGATGTAGTCCACATTCACACCGATTGCACTTCTTACCTTTGAATAATACTATAAACACACCTGACAGAATTACAGTTATTTACAGTTCAGCACTCTGCAGTCCTCTCAGCTTCGGTCGGGTGATGATCGGCTGAAAAGGTGGTAGCTATTTTTTTTCCTCTATGCTTTGGTTCTCCCACGGCACAGGGTCGTTTTCCTGTGTGAGTGATCCACCTTCCCTCTCGTGCCAGAACTGCTCCACATCAGGCAAGACGCTCCCATCTTTAAGACTCACGGTGTCCGCTTCCCTCCCTCCTCCTTCTGCTCCGACTTGCTCCGGCTGAGGCTGAGCCTCCCTGGTGGCTTCCTTGCTGCAGCCTGATTGAAGGCTTCTCTCCCCCCGCAGCTGACCTGAGGTCTCTGGTCTAGGACAAGGGGACTGGAGAGTGGTGGGGTTGTGGGGTCCAGGCTTAGGTGGCAGCTGCTTGCGCAGGGTGAGGCGTCTCCAAAGCCCCCTGTAACCCTCTCTGAACTCCTCGGAGAGAGAAAGGACAATGAGAGGGTTTACCAAAGACAGAGAGAAGGTGAGCAGCTGAGCAGAAAGGATAAGGAGAAGGGGAGGAGAGGAAATAAGGGGCTGAGCTCCTTCAGTTTCCTTTTCTGCAATCTGGCGCTCCCAAAGCCACACAACCCAGTGAGGAATCCAGAGGACAGCCATGGCCACAGTGAGGCTGAAAAGCATTAAAGTGAGCTTCCTGGATCTGATCTGTGTACGCAGATTCTGACTCTTACTGGAACGGCGCTGGCACTGGCCATAAGCCTTCCAGAAATACATAAGGGCAATGCTCAGAGGTGCACAGTAGACCCCCAGAGGATACGCTTTCACATACACAGACATGAAATCCTGGGCTTCAGGAGGAACCGTCATTATGCACACCAGCCCACGGATCTCTCTCTGCAGCCGAGCAAACAGCCAGTGTGGGATGGTGACAGTGCAGCCAGACAGCCATATGAAGAAGAGCACCACTAGGATGGAGCCCAGGTGTATGCTCACCTGCTTGTTTGGATTTGACACGTAGCGGTAGCAGGCTTTGGCCATGATGGCCACGGTGAAGCTCTTCACAACCATGCAGGATTGGAGAAACCAGTCGGCTGTCTTGCACACCACCCAGCCTAGATTCCAGCTCGTCTTGGAGTATGAGGCAGCCCTGAAAGGCACTGTAAACATCAGCACCAGCCCATCTGCAAACATCAGGTTGAAAATGAGGGAGTTGATGAGAGACAGTTTGCCTTTGTGCGCATTAGAGAACAGGATGACCATCGCAGTGAGATTGCAAGCCGCACCCAGGATACAAATGACTCCCAGAATAGCTGGCACCAGGACTCTGAGCTCAGTCGTGTCCAGGTGCTGGAAGGAATCGTGTTCACTAAATGACCACATGTCTACAGAGCTGTTCACCACAGTGCCATTGGTCCCACTAAGCTTATCCATTGTGGCAGGAAATGTAGGGGAAAAATGCCCTGGGAGGAAAAAATGTCCAAAAACAATGTGACAATATATCTTGGAGTTTACACCTGTTCAAATTTAAGCACCAGAGAAGCAATGACTTCGCAGTGTACAGAGCACCTGACAGTCCTCTGGTTTATCCCGAGATGCGATGATGCAGCATCTCGAGCAAGTTATAAAGATGCTGTTTGATTGACAGCTGCTGTCCCCAGCTGGCAAAATGTGTGTAGACTACACCCACATGGGGCCAATTAGGAAAATCTCAGCACAGATGAATATACTGGATTGGTGCAAATGATTCATTAAAGTTATGGTCTTAACAGTAATCAGATTCCTTAAATAAGAGTTAAAGGTAACAGTGCCTACCCAAGGCACTACCATAAACTGTGACCTGCATTCACTAGACATCCTGACAGAGTATGTGATTTATCAATGAGGTGGTTGGGACATAATCACAAGCTTCATTTAAAATGTTTCTTTTGTTTTGTTTTTTTCAAAATTTCATCATATATAAACAACAATAGATATTAATATTGAGCTTCCTCCGACGGGTGGCTGGCCTCTCCCTTAGAGATAGGGTGAGAAGTTCAGCCATCTGGGAGGGGCTCAGAGTAGAGCCGCTGCTCCTCCACATCGAAAGGAGCCAGCTGAGGTGGTTCGGGCATCTGACAAGGATGCCTCCTGGGTGAGGTGTTCTGGGCATGTCCCACCGGGAGGAGGCCCCGGGGCAGACCCAGGACACGCTGGAGAGATTATATCTCTCGGCTGGCCTGGGAACGCCTTGGTGTTCCCCCAGATAAGCTGGAGGAGGTGGCTAGGGAGAGGGAGGTCTGGGCTTCTCTGCTTAGGCTGCTGACCCGTGACCCGGCCCCGGATAAAGCAGAAGAAGATGGATGGATGGATATTAATATGAATAAACCAACCAGAACCAATCAGAAGAAGTCTCTTGTAAATGTGCTCAGATGAACAGTTTTTATAATTTTGTCTTTGTAAACCACCACAGTGAATTTGAAGTTAAACACTCATGGCATTAATTGTTTAAGAAATACAGCCCCTCATTTTCAGCGACTCAAATGTAACTTCACAGACTAACATCATTTTAATTTTAACACGTTTTAATACTTGGGTGAAATTCCTTTAAATAAACGAGTGCCTGAAGTCTATCACCAAATGTTGTGTTTCCCTACCAGACCTTTCATTGCAGCCACCTTTAGTTGCTCTAGTTGCATTTTCTTACTATCAGCCTGTCACAAAAACACATAATTTGTTAGAGTTTGACATACAATCATACCAAAGATAAGTTTGAGAGGCATAAAATTATAGTTTTGCAACAACAAGATCTATTAGCTGGAAAACTTCATAGGCAAGTTGAGGACAAAAGGTAGCCAACATCCAAAGAAGAGCTTTGAATGTCTATACTACTCAAAGAAATCACAGAAAGCTTGCCTCAGGATGTTCAGACTGTGGTGAAAAATAAAGATGGTCATAGCAAATACTGATGAAATGACAACAAACAGCCTAAAATGTAGGAATATGTAGTATGAGGTGTGGTCCAGAAATTCATGTGTAGTGAATTAAAGCTGAAAATTGCATCTTGATTGATTTAAAATCCAACATAGTGATATACAGGCACAATATTACAAGTACTTATGGACCTAGCTGTAACTTTGCTTAACATCCTAGGACCTGGCATCCACATATATGGACATCACATTTTGGGTTATTTAGACCAAAATACCAAAGACCAAAATTTTGCTCTCCTAAGGCCTGATATCCACTTACGAGGACATTATACTGCTACTGTTCTATCAAAATTTTAAACAAATATCCTTATATGTGGCTCTTATTTTTCTTAAAAACAAAAATAAGGTAAAAAAAAAATAAATCTGGTAATTCTTTGTTTTTACATTCATCAGGCCCCAATCAGCCCAAATCTCAAAGAGAAATTAAAAATGCATGCTGTGGAAGAGTTCGGGTCTTAGGAGGTTGAGGAAAATCCCATTTCATCAGCTGGACTGCCTTTATTTGTCTTAATTTTTGTCCACATGAGGGCGCCCTAACACCACAAGCAGAAACTGTCTTAGCCCATAAAACATCTTACATAAAGTTTGATAATTGATTCAGCAGGTGTTAACAGAGAAAGTCCACCAGTGCATGATTTGAACTTGCACATCTTTATTCTTTTTTTTATTCAAAAGAAAGTCCAGTAAGCATAAAGACTGCATGGTATTTCATTGCATTTCAATACATTCTGAGCTATAAAAGTCTTTTTTTTTTTCAATTAGAGTGTCACAAAGGAGGTTGTTTAGAAGACATTACTGTTTAAAGGAATCACACTTAATTATTCCCTGATTTCACAGAGTTCACTTAGACCTTTGACTGCTTTGCTTTACGGGAGTTGGCCGGTAAGAGCAGAGTGCTGAAAGACAATCTGCTACTGTTCCATGTTACCCATTTTCAGCTTGATGAGAAACATGGAAAGGCATTGCAGCAATCTAATATATATATTAAAAAAACTGAATAGTGCCCCAGATGATCTGCAGATGTACAAATATAGCTATACGCAGGCTGTCAGCTTCATCAGAATCAGATCCAACGCATGCAAAGAAAAAAAAAAAAGCTATGCTAGCATTGTTAGGCCAAGAAAATCTCAAGTTTTAAATTCAATATGTCAACACGATGAGTCGACCAATCTACAGTCTACAGATCATTTTTAGTACTATCCAAATAAAGAGAAAATGTGGCAAGAAATTTAGAAATGAATGTGACTTTGTTTGTGTCTCTTGCAAACTGACAACATCAGACTGACTTGCAAGGTGAGAGCAACAATTACTTTGTACATATCACAGCATTCTCCCCTGAGCTCACAAGCATGAAACCAGTGCTCTAATGTAGAATTGTGACTACATTGATTCAAGCACTTTTTCTACTTGGGACCTGTGTGGAGCTTTTTTTGTGTGTGTTTGTTTATTTAGAGAGAAAGAAAGAAAGAAAAAGAACAAAAAAAAATCCTAAGTTAACATTTCATTTGAAACATTCACACACTCCCTCCTTGTAGCCATTACCCCTCCTCCCCACCCGACCCTCCCCTCCCCTCCCTTCCAC